AATAGTTTTGAAAAATTCAAAAGTGCACGGCTCATGAGCGTTTTTTTTTAATGTATTTCATAATTTATTTTCGATGAAAAAATAATATCTTTTAAATGTCTATGAGTCTGATAACAACCCGCAATAGGGATCATCCTGAGGATAAACGGAAACTTATTCCGAAAGATTTATTTCATTTCGTTGCGTATATTTTTCTGAAACGTGAAGCCAAACAAGTGCACAAACTAACTGACAGCCGTAATAATAAATATTTTTTAACTATATTTTATGTAAATATAACCTTAACAAATGAATTAAAAATACGCCGACTTTATAATTTAAATATCTAATAATCAAAACATCCCTTTTTATTGATTTAGTGTCTAAATTAAGAGAAACTAACAATTTTACATCACAAAATCGTCACATACCTATTAGCGGCATATCGAGTTTTAATTTTTTTATTATAGTCAAAAAATATTGCACATTTTAATGTAATTTAAAATAAATGATTGAGTATAATAATGTTATTTAACATTACCCGACCTTGCGCGTTCCACTACGCTGATCATTTACAAAGCTTCGAAATGTCAAGCTGACGTTATGACAGATTTATAAGTTCATTAACAGTGGACATAGATATACATATGAGAAGCTAAAGGTCGCTTAGTGAGCTATGGAGAGGTTAGCTATGCTCGGAGATTCTCTGCGTGACAGAATCCGTTGTTGTGAAAATGAAGATACTCAAAGTAGAACACAAGTAAGCCATACATCCTAATGAATTCTTTTCGGTCAGCTTGATCCACTGGCCTAGCGAAAAGACGGTGCATCTCTGTGCGTCGTCTATCGCATATACTATTGTTGTGACCATATCAATATTAAAAATCTTGTATGTTTTAAATAAATAGATTGACTGTATTTCACAAGTAATAAATATTATATTAAATTCGATTGCTTAGTGCGATTACCAAGTCAATCTTTTTATTTAAAACATAAAAGATTTTAATATTGATATGGTCATATACATTAAACATTAATTGTGTTCTAAGTTTGAAGCTTCTATGTCTGCTAGAAATGCCTTAGAGTTTTGATGATCGGTCAGTCAGTGAGTGACAAAATTTAGAAATTTTGACTAATTCTAATTCCTAAACTACTGGGTCAAATTGAATGAAATTTGAAATATACCGTGCCTATACAATGTCTGCCTGGTTTCTAAAAATTCATGTTTCTAGTTTTATCCACAACGAAGTTATAGGGGGTCGAAAATGGCCTGAATTGTTTGAAGAAAAGTATGGTACGGCCGTGACCCTCTTTTGCTCGACTTGGCGGGGGCACTACCGTGCCCCTAGATTTCAAAAACGGTATCAGATTTTGAGGTCACTCGGAGCTATGAAAAACCATAATATTAGTAGATCTATTATACTACTAACATTTTTTATAGCTCAGAGTGATTTTCAAAAAACTAAAAAAAATCCTAAAACATGAAGCAAATAGTATAATTTTCTACCAACATAGAACCACAAGCAAAGCCGCAATTAACACAAAATACACTTTACATTGCATAAGCGTAAGTCCGTTTATGAGTGGCAGGTTATCGTTTGAGTGGAACACAGTTCCGAAAATCACAGCCAGGTAAGTCGTTTTTGAAAGCAATCAGAGTCCGTTAAAATAGCCAAGTCCTAATATTCAATAGATAGTCCTAAAAATTACCACAATGCGATTTACGCGGAGTATTCTGCCACGCACGACCACACTGTAGAATTTACTGTCGCCAGCACTTTTCGATACAACTTAGGGACCTGTTAAAAAGAGCTTATATATTTCTTAAAGGCCGGCAACGCACCTGCAATTCTCCTGGTGTTGTAGATGTTCATGGATGACGGTGATCACTTACTATTAGGAGAGTCGAATGCTCAAAAAATCAGTAAACTGAAGTGGAAATGGGGCGACTAAATAGCTCGAAGTACTGACAATCGATGGGGAAGAAAGTTCTCGAGAGTTCTCTGAAGTGTAGGATGGCCCACAGTTCGGTGAATCAGTTCTTTTGTACAAAAAAATTTTCTTATTTGATGAAAAGAACTGATTCATCTAACCGTGAAACTTGTGGAGTAATTGAAGACTTGCATCATTTTTAATAGAATGTGAGCGAAACCGAGGATCAAGGGAATTATCTGTAAGGACATATAAGATAAATGTGTACAATATAGGTATTGCGCAGGACATTCTAATTGCCTCCACCCTATCTTGGATACTGGATTAAGTATGTGCAGATTAATAACAAATGTATAGATTTTAAGTTAGCTTTAATGGGATTGACATGTTAACGAAAATAGTTAGTTAATATCCCTACATAAAACAAGAATAAAAAAAGGATGGCCCATACTAGAATGACGACCTGGTAGAACATGCAGAAAGTCGACGGATGTAGGTAGCTCAGGACCGAGTTTTGTGGCGTTTGCTAGGGAAGGTACAGCTATGGACTTTTGGAGAATAGTAACGTTGATGAAGATAAGCAATAAGTTCGTAATATAATTTAAGATAATCAATAATGAAATAGTAGCTTAATGCTGCTGTATTTCGTATGGTGAGTGTAGAGAACCGGAGACCTTTTTTACTGGAAACAAGGCCTTCCATCTTAGTCCTCACCGGTGACAACACATCTGAATTTTGATTTGTATACGAGGATAGATGTAGATGTCTATGGGCCGCAGCACTCACTTACCATCAGGTAGACTGTGTGCTCGTTTGTCACCCTTATTATATATAAAAAAAAAGTTCGGCAGGGTTGACTTTTTAAGATTATAAGCTACATAATATACACTCATTATAAGCCAGTGCTTTACAACAATCCCACCTGTGGTAAGTGGTGATGCAGCCATAGATGGTAAATCGCACTATCTTAGCGTAACAAATGCCTATTCACTCTTGCCTTGAAGACGCCCAGATTGTATTCGGACGGAGAGATAGACGCCGGCAAATTATTACTCTCGTTTGCTGTACTCAAATTTGTGGTTTTAATGTGTGGAATACCGATTACAAAGAGGTGAGGACCCGCCGTGTGCCTGGTCGTCCGATGGTGAAAAGGAGAGGGAGCAATTAAAGTGTGCAATTCCTGCGCACACTCACCGAACTACAAACTATAGAATACTGAGAGGCTGGCTACTCAGCGCCTGTGCTCGAGGCTGACAAGATTGGTTTCAACCAGATCAAGTTCACCAGTTTCTCTCTTAGCACGTCTCTCCTCTGAGTCCAACTGACTGAGAGAGAATACTAGTTGTATTTTTTAACGTTACCTCCACGCTAGGATTTTCTCCTGCATCGTGGGAGCAGTTTACAAACATAAATTTCACAAGGACAAACATCCGGACCCGGAACAATTACTTGTAGGCCATACAAATACTTGTTCGGTGCGGGATTCGAACCCGAGGCCCTTAGCGCTATAACTCATAGCTAAGCCACTGCGCCACGGAGCCGTCAAATTTAATACGTATATTTAATACGTGGTAGAGCCATGCTGCAGTTATATGACTAGTATAGTTGTAGCACGAATGGGTAGGCTCGACCGGGGAAGGACCACGCTCTCACAGAACACAAGCCCAAAATAGCAGCTTAATGCTGCTGTATTTCATATGGTGAGTGTAGTGAACCGGAAACCCTTTTTACTAGAAACAAGGCATTCCACCTTAGTCCTTACGGGTGACAACGTATTTGCATTTTGGTTCGTAATTTACTTACCATCAGGTGGACTGTGTGCTCGTTTAACACCCTTATTCTATATTTAAAAATATCAAATAACGATTGCAAAGAAGTTTCCACCACACAAACGATGTAAGTGACCACTGCAGGGTGAGGACCTGCCTATCAATCTACGGGATCTACGGGAACTTCTATATCAATAATTCAAAATTAAGTTAAGAAAACGGCTAGTTTATAAGTGTTTTATGCAATACGAGAGTTCATGCAACATAAAACTAATACATATGATTATTTGTAAAATTAAATACAATGTAATATTATAATAATAATAAATAATATAACTTGACATCTTTGTACGTAATATAATAGTATTTTTATTGCCTTATATAATTATAAATATTTGCATGCCTATTAAAGGCAGTAATGTTACCACCGATTCTTGCAAATAAACAATATAACTTGAAACTAATGCATGCCTAAGCTGTTAAATCTGGTACCACCTGTATTCTGTGCAAATAAATTTTTCTTTCTTTCTTTCTAACCCTTGGCTACGTGCAACCGACTTTATATATGGATGACTTGACGTTGTTACGAGTATCTCTGAAGACAGAGATTGAATGTCTCACATAAAGTCTTCTCGGCTCGGCCGGGGAAGGACCACGCTCTCACGGAATACCAGCGTAAAATAGTAGCTTAATGCTGCTGTGTTTCGTATGGTGAGTGTAGATAACCGGAGACTCTTTTTACTGGAAACGAGGCATTAAATCTTAGTCCTCACGGGTGACATTTTAATTTGTAATCGAGGAACGAGGATAGATGTAGATGTTTACGGGCCGCAGCAACCAATAACCATCAGGTGGACTGTGTGCTGGTTTGTCACCCTATCCTATAAAAAAATGTAATGGCTCGGCTCGACCTGGGAAGGACCACGCTATCACAGAATGCCAGCGTGAAATAGCAGCTTACCTAATGCCGCTGTGTTCTCATGGAGAGTGTAGAGAACCGGAGACCCTTTTCACTTGAAACGAGGCATTCCACCTGAGTTCTCAGGGGTGACAACGGATCTGCATTCCGATTCTTAATCGGGGATGTATGTAGATGTCTATGGACCACAGCATCAATTACCATCAGGTGGACTGTGTGGTCGCTTGTCATTCTTTTTCTATTAAAAAAAACTTGGTGCTGCACACCTCCTGATTCGATTCCATCTGTCGCTTCTCCTGACACAAGAATGTAAATAATTCATTAAAAATTTAATTGAATTCTTACACGTCACGAGTATATACACGTCAAGCAAATAAAAGTGTGTTCGTAAAAAGTCTTACCACTTCCACTCTTGATTCTCTTTAATAGTTAGTGTGAAGACCCCTTCGACGATCAAAAGGAGGATCGGCGTGGCCAGGTACCAGTACTCGGCGTTATGCTTGAACCTAATCACTTGCCAGATTGCTATAATACCGTGGCACGCGAAAACTAATCGGGTTATAACCGCTTTTATTGTTGCTAACACTTTGCCTACCTTCGCCATTTTGTTTTCGTCAGAAGACTTAACTCACGGCTAGTTCATAATATGTAACCTGTGATAGCATATGTTGAGTCAGTCCATTTCAACATCACATCAACCATGCAATCAAGTTATTTTTGTTTTAAAAAAATACTGGCAAGTTATTTGTTATTTATACACTCTTTTTATTTTTAAATTAATTATTTCATATTTAAAACTGTGTGAATGTAAGTTGCTAAATAAATGCTTGTCTAATATTCTTTAGGATTGGGGCGGCGTGAGAGGTTTCTGAATTGAGTAAATAAAATAAAAATGAGTCACTGAAAGATAACTATACTCTTGTGCCTTTTGCTGCTGAAACAATAAGTCAGTGGGGTTCACGCGCGATTTCTAAAGAAACTATCTGACTGGTCATCGACGCGGGTGTCAAGAGAACCAGTTCTTTTCTCGCCTAAAGCCAAAGTGTTCAGCGTAAGCCCACTGTTTTTTGCAATAATAGAACCGTTTAACAATTTTAGTTTTTATATTTATTAAACAAATTTAAATATTTTAAAATGAGTTGACTTTGCATTCACAAATCAGATTAGATAATGGCGAATATGTGTTTTTAGAGCTTTTAAAAAAAAAACTTTTAGTAAGATAAATAAAAATTATATTTCTTTCCATGGTATGCTTGAAAATTAACTTTAATGTGTTAGAAGAAATTAAATACGATAAGTTAGTATAAAGATAATTGTTTAATTAATGTTTTAAAAGGATAAAAATAAGATAATACCTACACTACAACTTCGGTAGATCTAACTGGCCAATTTATAAGAGAAACTAAATAAATATTATAATCTTTATTATTGTTTTTTGATTTGATATCCCGTCCTGAGGGGTAAAAATATATATTCAGTGGCTAGAATGATATTTATTATGTTTATTAGTAAGTTTATTGAAAAGTTAGCAAAAAGAGCTGGAGAATTCACTTTTTACATTTAGGTATATTTTATGGAATAATTTTTACTAACGAACTAGAAGACACACAGTTTGGAATGTATACATTGCTGGTGGTAGACTAGGCTGCAACTTGATATAACTTTTGACTATATTGTTTAAGGATAAGTCTTTATCACTATTTTAATTTTTAAGCTATTAATTTATATATTTTAATTATTTTAATCATATTTGAACGCGTTTGTAAATTTCGTTCGTATTATTTACGCCAAATAAAAAATCTAAAATGTTTACGAAACTGCTCATTATTTATTTTATTAAAAGAAAAAAGTTATAATTTTTTATAATCTGTATTAAAGGTTTTACACTTTTTTATAAAATTTTCATAAGTTTCTTTTTAACTTTTAAACACATAACTAATGAACATAAATTTAAACTGTTACATTGACGAAATCAAGTCAATGAGTAACCGGGAACCGTAAGTGACTGAAAGGAATACGGGATCTTCTCAAACTGAAACCTCTAATTCTAAACGTACATTAAAATGATTAGTTCGTATTGATCAAAATACATTGCTGTTTTTGAATCGTTCATGAAATATAACATCGAGGTAAAGCAGAAATGAATTTCAAATGTGTAACATTGCATGGCGGGCCTTTTATTGTGCGCGCGCAAAACCCGAATAAGCCAATCGCAGATAGTTAAAAAAGAAAAGGGCTTGGGATTATCACAAAACAACATTTACATCTCCTATAGACCGTCCTGAGTCGTAATATAATGTGTTAAGGTTGAAAATCGCACAAATATTTAAGTCGAATAGGAAACTGTATCATTTATTTGTAGGCAATTCTGCAAGGGCAGTGCTGGGGCAGGGCCACAAGGCGACTTCGCCGGCTATTTTACTCAATCACGTAAATAGACAAACGGACTGACTGACTCATCGCTAACTAAGGATCGTGCCACACTCAATAGCGTTGATCAGTTGCGCGTCCTGTATTCGAATCTTTTTTTCTTTCATTTAAAAAAAGAACGTAACCCCAACCCACACTAGGATTTTGTTTGAAGGCAATTCACATGAATAAATTTCATAAGCGCAAATATCCAGACCCGGAACAATTCGTCGCTGACGCCGCAAAGTGTCAAATATTAAAAACAATAAAAATATTAGAATTAGAATTAATGGAAAATTACAAATACGATTAATTTTTCTCCACTTTGCGGCGTTAGCGACGAATTATTTGTAGGCAATACAAATACTTGTTCTGTGCGGGATTCGAACACGCGGCCCTCAACGTCGCAACTCCTTGCTAAGCTACTAAGTCACCCCCAAGTGGGGATATGTTTTATAGAATAAGGGTGACAAACAAGCACATAGTCCACCTGATGGTAAATAGATGCTATGGCTATCTACATCTATTATCGATTAAGAATCAAAATGCAAATGTACCACTGAAGACTTAGACGGAATGTCTCATTACTAGTAAGAAGGGTATCCGGATCTCCATACTCAACATACACACAGCAGCATTAAGCTGCTATTTTACTCTGGTATTCTGTGAGAGCGTGGTCCTTCCCCGGTCGAGCCGCCCATTAGTGCTACTATTATAATGTAACTGTAACGTTGCAAATTTGGTACTTGCTATGGTTACCACGCTTGGCACGCGGGTTGACAACCAGTTATTGATTTTTCGTTGTGAGACGCTGCTCCATCTCCTTCTCATCCACGGGTAGATATGGAGTAGTGGATATTCTTCCACCGCTACTGTACGATCAGCGCTTAATACGTTACTTATACTCGTAAAATCACCGGTATACAATCAGCTCTTATACCGTTACTTATAAAATAACTTTTTATTTTTATTCTTACACGTTAGCGTTGTCTTACGTTAAGGTATAACTTAGAACATGGTCTATCTCATATTCTAATAATGTAACTTTGAAGCCTAAAAACCTCCATATCTCTCTTATCTTGATGGGTTGTGTATAGAAAAAGATAAAACAAAAACGATAATTACAACTAACATAGGTACATTCCTACTAACAGTATAAGAACGATAAACGATAGGTGGTAGGATTTGGTCAGGGATCCAGGTAGAAAAAGAATGATTACCACCCTTTACCCATTTCTGCCATAAAACAGGAGTACATGGACTGTCGTGTTTCGGCCTAAAAGTTATCTAGAATATAATTACGAACATTCCATCTGATTCCTCTCAAGTGACAACGCATTTTATAACATAGAACTTTATAACATATTTGCTTATTACTGTTACTTGCTTTTACAAAACATTAATTATACAAACAAAAACATACTAGACAAAATATTTAAAAAATATTTTATACAATTGCATTATGTGTATAATTACAGCAGCAACGAGGCGAAAATTGAATCCGAATATACGTACGTACATACATACGTACGTGTGCACACATGGACATCTACTTAATAACCATACTATTTGACTCTGGAAACCTTGAAACGTGGAGATATGTTAAAATTTCCAATTTGCAAAATCGGACCTATTACAATAACTTCCCACTGGAAAGTTAAAATGGCCAACGACTCGGCATAATGCTACAGTAGCAGCTACCGCAGCACTGATATTCTGTCGGAGCGCATAAGTCTACCCACGAGCAATCACTGCACATAATTTTGTACCTATTTTATAACGTATAATTAAATTTTAAATGACTTAACTGTATCTACGTGCATTATAAAATATTTTAGTACATTCTTTATTCTAATTCTAATATTATAATATAATACTAGTATTACTTTCACTTATTCAAACTATCGTACTTGTATTTTATATCAAGTAGCCGTTCTAGCATAATTTTATGGAATTTTAGTGGTTTTTTAATTTCGGTGATAATATTTAAAAGCTATGCGTTCCGTTTTGTAAGGATGGTACGGATTGCACGTTTTAGCCCCTAATTGAATTAAACTTTCGGTACTAAAAATAACACCAAAAGTTTTGAACTAAATAAATAAGTCAATTAAAAAATATTGAAATTAAAATAATACGTACCCAATTAGTAGTATTTATTGATATATCTATTTCATATGTTAATGTAAAATAAAAATAAAATTATAAAATGTCAGTGCTTCAAGTCCTTTCACCTGTTACACCCTATTTTTTCCAAACGGTAAAAAATCATACAGTATAATTTAGCTCCTTCATACATCAGTTTTTTTATTTCCATATTAAGTTCTGGGAATAGGTACGTGTATGCTATTGGCATTTCGTAACGTTTTCTTTTGTGTTTGATTATTCTTTGTAAGGCGTATTTGAGAATGATATGATATATATATCAAAAATTTTACGTAGGCGATGCAAGTTTTAAGAACACACAATTGATTTAAATTCATTCATTTCGTTACAGAGTAAACTTTTAGTCGGTGTTAGGTTAGGTTAGTAATACCTAACACCGACTACAACGAAACCATAATTTTTTGATAACTTTTTTTTGAGAAGTAATTTCTATTAAAAATATATATTTAATATGTTTAATCGACTAAGTTGGTCAATGCACTAACTTCGGCCAAACAAAGAGTTTATTACTGTGAAAGATCATTTGTCAATAGAATACATTGAACTTGCATATTACATTTAAAAAGAAAAAGTAAGATAGTTAAAACCATTACCGTAATAAATGCCGTTGGCACAGAGGTCACGCTTGGCAGATAGGTTGGCAACCGCAGTTTTTTTATATAGAATAAGCGTGACAAACGAGCACACAGTCCACCTGATGGTAAGTGGATGCTGTGGCCCATAGACATACACATTTATCCTCGATCAAGAATCAAGGCACAGATGCGTTGTCACCCGTGAGGACTCAGATGTATTGCCTCTTACCCAGTAAAAAGTGTCTCTGGTATTCTACACTCGCCATACGAAACACAGCAGTATTAAGCTGCTATTTTACGCTGGCATTCTGTGAGAGCGTTTTTCTTTCTCGGCCAAGCCAACACGTTCGTGTTAGAGCCATAATATATCAGCGTAAATGTAGATGTTTAATGGCCACAGCAACCACTTACCATCAGGTGGACTGTGTGCTCGTTTGTCACCCTTATTCTATAAAAA